TGTGGCTGGCATCAGGCACCAGGCCTTTGGTCAAGCCGGATTCAAACCCGCCAGCTCTGGTGTATGTGGCTGGCATCAGGCACCAGGCCTTTGGTGCCCTCTTTTTCTCTCTTAATTTTCCCACATTTCTAGTCCCTGCTACAACAGGATGTCAGGGCAGGTTGGATTAGTGCAGTAGTTCCCTTCCCCCGACCTTGTGGATATGACCGGGGACAAAGTGCACAGAGTGGTCTATTGTGTGGGGGCGACAGCATTTACTATTGTTTCTTGGGAGGGAGGAATTTCCTGAAACCATAGGAATGTCTATGTCAGGACTTCTCCGATGGTCCGCACAGCTTATAGTTGCTCAGGAGGCAGTCTTAAAAGGGAGCCTTATTTATTTATTTTTGAGACAGAGTCTCACTGTCTGACTGAGACAGAGTCTCACTTGACAGAGTGCTGTGGCATCACAGCTCACAGCAACCTCAAATTCCTAGGCTCAAGTGATTCTCTTGCCTCAGCCTCTCTAGTAGCTGGGACTATAGGCGCCCTCCACAGTGCCTGGCTATTTTTTATAGATGGGTTCTTGCTCTTACTCAGGCTGATCTGGAACTCCTGAGCTCAAGAAATCCACCTGCCTCAGCCTCCCAGAGTGCTAAGGTTATAGGTGTGAGCCACCTCATCCAGCCTTAGGGTCCCACTAATATTTTGGTTCCCACTTGTAGGTGGACAACAAAGGTCGTAATTTCCTTCATGTAGCAGTTCAGAACTCTGATATTGAAAGTGTCCTGTTCCTGATCAGTGTCCAGGCTAATGTGAATTCCAGAGTCCAGGATGCTTCCAAGTTGACCCCTTTGCACCTCGCTGTCCAGTCGGGTTCAGAGATGATTGTCCGCAATTTGGTAAGTGACACAGAAACATCACTGCATGTAACGTGTGTGAAGCGTGTTGTAGAGCACGTGCAGAATCTGTCATCGTCAGTGTTTGGCCAGGTATTATGAAAGGCCAGAGTGAATTTGGGGAGCTAGCCAGTATGCTGAGGACAAGGCTGTGTGTCCCGAGGGCCCAGTGCACTGTGTGGGTTGCCAGGGCCAGCAGAGGCAAGGCTGGAGCACAGAGGGAATGGAGCTTTATTTCTGATGCCTGCCTGCTCTCTGTCAGGCATTCATCTAGGACTTTCAAGTGAGCTATCTCTCGCAGAGAGCCTAGTGAAATTTTTCATTTTATGAAGGAGAGTATTAAAGCTCAGAAAGATTCTTTTCTTGCCCCAAGGCTATCAGCTGGTAGTGTTGAATTTTAGTCTTTTCTGTTTGACTCCAAAGCCTGTTTTTTCCAGTATGACATAATGTCACCCAAGGAGGGGAAGGGGCTGAGCAAAGATGTGGAGACTGATGAATGCATGTGGTATGTTTTATGTAAGAAAGTTTGGTTGAAATCTGAGTAGAGAGTTTTAGATGTGGTTGGAGAGGCAGGCAGAGACCAGACAGCGGGGTGTCAAATTTCAAACCAAGACAGGTGAGCAGCCTTTATCCTATATGCAACAGAGAAACCACTATATGTGTTTGAGCTAAGAAAACATAGTCCAGAGCTGGCCTGCTGTTCAGAGCTAGCTGTCACTGGGACTTCCCATCAGCCTAGGCATATACTGCAGAACTGGCCACCAGGGTGCCTGACCAGCCTCAGCCTTTGGTGCTCTGGTGCTTTTGTTTTTGAAAAACATTTTTTGTTATTGTTGTTGAGACAGGGTCTCACTCTGTTGCCCTGGGTAGAGTGCCATCACATCATAGCTCACAGCAACCTCAAACTCTTGGCCTCAAATGATCTTCCTACCTCAGCCTCCCAAGTAGCTGGGACCACAGGCACCCACCACAACAACACCCAGCTAGTTTATCTGTTTTTTTTTTAAGAAGAGATAGGGTCTCACTTTTGCTCAGACTGTATTAAACTCTTGAGCTCAAGGGATCCTTCCCCCTCAGCCTCCCAGAGCACTAGGATTACAGGAGTGAGCAACCATGCCTGGAGGAACTACAGAGTATTTTCTTTTCTTTTCTTTTTTTTTGTCTTGAGACAGAGTCTCATTACGTCACCCTCGGTAGAGTGCCATGGCTTTAAAGCTCACAGCAACCTCAAACTCTTGGGCTCAAGCTATTCTCTTGCTTCAGTCTCCCAAGTAGCTGGGACTATAGGTGCCTGCCACAACACCCAGCTATATTTATTTTGGTTGTAGTTGTCATTGTTGTTTAGTAGGCCTGGGCTGGGTTCAAACCCCCCAGTCTTGGTGTATGTGGTGGTGCCCTACCTACTGAGCTACGGGTGCTACCAACTACAGAGTATTTTCTGTTTAACTGTTAACAAATGTCTTTGGCTGGGTGCAGTGGCTCATGCATGTAATCCCAGCACATGGGAGACTGAGGCTGGTGGATTGCCTGAGCTTATAGATTGGAGACCAGCCTGAGCAAGAATGAGACCCCATCTCTAAAAAAATAGCTGGGCATTGTGGCAGGTGCCTGTAGTCCCAGCTACGTGGGAGGCTGAAGCAAGAGAATCACTTAAGTCCAAGAGTTTGAGGTTGCTGTTAACTAAGGCGCCACAGCACTCATACCAAGGGTGACTGAGACTGTCTCAAAAAACAAAAAAAATAGATGTCTTTGAAACTGTCAGAAAGAGGATGATGAATGAACTTCAAATATTAAATGAATAAACAAGATATTATTAATATTTAAAGATCCTTCCTGCCTTTGATTCTGTATTTCTTTGTGTTCTTTCTTTTAAAAACAAGATAAATATAGGGCAGCACCTGTGGCTTAGTGGGTAGAGCGCCAGCCACATATACGGAGGGTGGCAGGTTCAAACCTGGCCCGGCCAAACTGCAACAAAAAATAGCCAGGCATTGTGGCGGGCGCCTGTAGTCCCAGCTACTCGGGAGGTTGAGGCAAGAGAATTGCCTAAGCCCAGGTGTTGGAGGTTGCTGTCAGCTGTGACGTTACGGCACCCTACTGAGGATGATAAAGTGAGACTCTGTCTCTAAAAAAGAAATATATATATATACACACACACACATATATATATAGTATATGCTTAGTGTGTAAAAACTTAAAACATGTAAGGATATAAAACACATAGTATCTGCTTTTTGCTCCCAACTCTTCTCTGAATTTGGTGCATGCTTTGCTTTTAAAAGTATGGTGACATATGCTTTTCCACACTGTCAGAGTGTGTGCATGTGTGTCTGCAGACATCTTTCTGTATACACCATCTCCAGATGGAATCATATTATCTTCTTACTTGCAGGGTTTTTTTTTGAGACAGAGCCTCAAGCTGTCCCCCTGGGTAGAGTGCTGTGGCATCACAGCTCACAGCAACCTCTTAACTCCTGGGTTCAAGTGATTCTCCTGCCTCTGCCTCCCAAGTAGCTGGGACTACAGGCGCCTACCACAATGCCCAGCTATTTTTTGTTTGTTTGTTTGTTTGCAGCCATCATTGTTGTTTGGTGGCCCAGGCTGGATTCAAACCTGTGTGGCTGGCGCCTTACCTGCTTGAGCCATAGGCACTGAGCCACAGGGTTTTTTTTTTTTTTAAACTTACTATATTATTGACATCTTTATATTAGTCCATAAATATTATGTTAAAGGCTACCTTTTCTGTTGTTCATATATGTTATATTTTTCATATCCCATCCCTTTTTACCATCAGGTTTTATAAACAGTGGATATCCTTATAATGTAGTGAACATCGCTGTAGTTCTGTGCAGTTTTTATATACTAAAGTCTTAGAATTTCTGTGTTCTAAGGATGTCTATTTAATGTATGTTTATTTTTTTCTTTTTTGAGACAAGGTCTCACTCTGTTGCCTAGTCTAGAAGGCAGTGGCATCATCATAGCTCACAGCAACCTCCAACTCTTGGGTTCAAGCAATCCTCCTGCCTCAGCTGCCCCAAGTCACTGGGACTACAGGCCACCCACCACTACACTTGGCTAATTTTTGTATTTTTGTTGAGAGAGGGCCTCACTATATTGCCCAGGCTGGTCTTAAACTGCTGACCTTAAGCAGTCTTCCCACCTTGGCCTCCCATAGTACTCGGATTACAGGTGTGAGCCACTCCTCCTGGCTTTGTTTTTTTGTTTGTTTTTTGAGACAGAGGCTATGTTGCCATTGGTGGAGTACTGTGGCATCATAGCTCACAGCAACCTCAAAGTCCTGGACTAAAGCGATTCTCTTGCCTCAGCCTCCCAACTATCTGGGACTACAGGCTCCTGTTGTTGGCATTGTTGTTTGGCAGGCCTGGGCTGGGTTCGAACCCTCCAGCTCTGGTGTATGTGGCTGGTGTCTTTGCTGCTGACCTACAGGTGCCAAGCCTGCCCGTGGCTGTAACATTGTGATAGCTACTTGCTGGTTTATCCTTGGCACAGGTTTTGCTGGTTTATGCCTTGCTAAGAGTGTGTGTGCATAGCTCTTATGCTCCCAGGTTTGCCATCAGGGCAAACCATCAGTCTCTGTGTATATCAGAAGACAGATCTGCCCCCATAAATGGGATCTTGATTGTGGTAGAGAGGCTGCTCATGTAATCAACTTCAACAGCTTCTTGCAGGAGCCAAAGTGAATGAATTAACTAAGCATCGCCAGACTGCCCTCCATCTTGCTGCTCAGCAGGACCTGCCTACCATCTGCTCTGTCCTCCTGGAGAATGGAGTGGACTTTGCTGCTGTGGATGAGAATGGAAATAATGGTAATTCCCAGTCCTTCCTCTCTGTTCAGTGCTAAGTGCCTTGAGCACTCTGCTCATGCTACGGGTGGAGGTGCACTGCATCCTTGGGTCTGTTCCCCCTTGGGGAGGTTGGCTTTTATAGGAGTCGAGCTGTGATGGAGTGTCCTAGGCCAGACATCCAATCTGCTGCTGATAGGCCGTGAGCAGCCTCCCCATCTGATTGGTAGTCCTGGAGCCTAAAGTGGCTTCTTGGGAAACTGTTCAATCTCATTTCTGGATAACTACTGAAGCAGAAGGCAGAGACTCATGAAATGTCATTTATGACTCATCCTTGGGGGTAGTGAAGACCAGAAGGAATGGCTTAGTGCATGGCAGGTTGCTGCTTGGCTGGGCCCCATTTTCAGGTTTATGAGGGTGAAGAGGAATTGAGATTGTTCTGTGCATGCCCCTGGGCTTGCACAGTAAGAAGATTTACTCCCTAGCTCTTCATCTTGCTGTCATGCATGGTCGGCTCAACAACATTCGGGTTCTCCTGACAGAGTGCACAGTGGATGCTGAAGCTTTTAATCTGAGGTGAGTGTGTCTGGTCCAAAGCAAGGACCAGAGCTTCCTGGCACCTGGCCTGCCATTCAGACCTAGTGGTCACTGGTCCCCTCCCATTGTCCCTCAGATGTACACTGCAGACCTGGCTCCCAGGGCACTTGAACACCTTTTGGTCTCCTGGTATTTTTTGTTTTTATAAAAACTCCTTTTTAGGTTGGGCACAGTGGCTTACACCTTTACATATCCTAGCACTTTGGGAAGCCAAGGCAAGAGGATTGCTTGAGGCCAGGGGTTTGAGATCAGTCTGAACAAGAACAAGACCCTGTCTCTGTAAAAAAAATAGAAAAATTAGTTGGGTGCAGTGCAGGTGCCTATAGTTAGTCCTATCTACTCAGGAGGCTAAAGCAGAAGGTTTGCTTGAGCCTAGGAGTTTGAAGTGAGCTATAATGAGCAAGACCCTGTTTCTAAAAAAAAAACCTCCTAAAACAAAAAACTACTTTGTAGAAAAATTCTTGTGACCCTGTTATGTATCCTTTAGGTTATCCCACGTTACAGAGTTCAGAAAATTCCATTTCTTTTGTGTATCATGGTCATGGCAGATACATAGCTAACTCTCCTGATTTGTTTTATCAGAGGTCAGTCACCACTGCACATTTTGGGACAATATGGCAAAGAGAATGCAGCAGCCATCTTTGATCTCTTCTTAGAGTGCATGCCTGAGTATCCTTTAGATAAACCAGACGCAGAAGGCAACACAGGTATGTAATAGGTGTTTGTATGTCCTGTCTCTCGTACACACCTTTCTGGAGAAACAAAAGCCCAAGCACTCTTGTCGTTATCTAAGGCAGTGGTTCTCAACCTTCCTAATGCTGTGAACCTTTAATATAGTTCAAAGGGGTCACAACCCACAGGTTGAGAACTGCTGATAAGTCCCATTCAGCTCAAGGTGTTTTGGCTGGGCTCTCTTGAGTATCTGTCACAAATCCCTTTGGTGGGCTTGGTGCCTGTGGCTCAAGTGGCTAAGGTGCCAGCCGTATACACCTAAGGTGGCGGGTTCGAATGCAGCCCGGGCCTGCCAAACAATAATGATGGCTGCACCCAAAAAATAGCCAGGCGCTGTGGCGGGCGCCTGTGGTCCCAGCTACTTGGGAGGCTGAGGCAGGAGACTCGCTTGAGCCCAGGAGTTGGAGGTTGCGGTGAGCTGTGAAGCCATGGCACTCTACCCAGGGGGACAGCTTGAGGCTCTGTCTCAAAAAAAAAAAACAAATCCCTGTGGTGGAATTTGGAGTGTCTGTTAGGCATAAGCCCAACTGAAGTATATGTACTACTTCAAAGTCATACCTCTGTCCAAATAGTCTGCCTACCTGGTTTTGTTTCCCTTCTACTTGGTCAACTATGGCCCTATCCAGGGTCCTACATTAGAAGAGATATTAAATGTAAGCACCTCACAGGCTTAAAGGAGGAAATGTGCTACCACATGTGTGGCAAATTACACACAGACATAAGGGGCGCCTTCTTACCAAGAGGATTAATAAATAGGCTTCTCTTATGGTTTGCTGTAGCTACCCATTGTTACTGTGTTCATTTATGTAGCTTTCATAGCTTTCTTATATTTTTGCATTTATTTTCTTGTTGAATTCTCACAATATTTCCATAAGGTAGGCAGTGCCTAGATGTATCCCCATGTTCCAGGTAAGGAAACAAAGTCTCAAAAAAAAAATGAAGATTAGACTTCTCATCCCAGCCCAGAACTCTCTGAGCACCATCCCTGTTGCTGCTGCATTTCCATCCATGCACCCTTTACCTGAGAGCCTCTGTGGCCTTTAGCAGAAATATTTTTGTCACCAGTTCTTGGCCTTGGGAGAGATCTTGGTCTTGATATATGAAGGTGTTTTTTAAGCTGGCAGTGATGGGTATGAGTTTCAGAGGACTCAGCCCCGGGCATGAGCCTCTGGACCCAGCATGGACTAACTGGGTGTCGTTGCCCAGGAGCAGGTAAGCAGGCAGGCACATAGGTGCTTGATGTTTGGGCTTCTGATTTAAGGAGACCTGGGTTCAGATGCCTAGAACTGCCCTATTCCAGCATGGTGACTGGGTAGATTTTCTAATTTCTCTGTGCATGTTTCCTTATTTGATAATGAGAATTATAACCCTCATCTCATTGCATCATTTTGAAAGGCTTTTCTTTTTTAAGGGTATCATTTTGAAAGGCTTTTTTCTTTTTTTTAATTCTTGGGGATCATTGAGGGTACAAAGAATTAGGTTACATTGATTGCATTTGTTAGGTAAAGTCCCTCTTAGAATTGGGACTTAGAATTGTGTCCTGCCCCTAAGAGATGTGTCATTACACCATGACCCCCAATCTCCTCCCTTCCCCCTCCCTCCCTCTCCCCACTCTCTCATTCCCCTGCCTCTTACCTTGAATTGATGTGAGTTTTTTCTCTTACAAGGGTATGCATTAGATCATCTACTGGCTTCATATTAGAATTGAGTACATTGCTTCTCCATTCTTATAATACTTTGCTAAGAAGAGTGTGTTCTAACTCAATCCAGTTTAATACAAAAGATGTAAAGTCTCCATCTTTTTTAATGGCTGAACAATATTCCATGGTACATTTTGAGAGTTAAATGAAAGAATTTAAAGAGTCTAGTGAAGCTGTGAGCTGTCATTGTTAGTGGGGAGGTCAGCAGGATGGCCCTGGCCACAACCTGGGTGCCCCTGGGTCTGCCCCTATACAGAGGAAAGGCTGTATGGGGCAGAAGAACTTTCTGGAGTACATTCCCCATGCTGATTTTTTTCCCTCCATGTATACACAACCTACAGGTCTTTAGATGTAGTCACATTGCGTGAAAACAGCTTTGTCCTTTGTGCCAGAGAAAAGCAACAAAGAACACAGTATATGTTTTCCTGCCATGTTTGATCTCTACCTGCCTGGATCCACTACCCCACTCCTCTTGTAGCTGAAGCTCTACACAGGAAAGACTGTGTCTTTGGAACTATAACTACCCTTGGCTCATAGCCAGATCCTTTTTTGGAAGATGCTGCAGATCTTCCACGGAGGTCTTATCTGGTGCCTCTGAATGTCTCTGGGGACTTCCTGAACAGATGTCCTGCCAGCAATCTGTCCTACCCTCGGCTGTCCTCTGCCCACCAGGCTGGGGCTAGTTGGAAGTGTGCTTTTGTTTTCCAGTGCTGCTCTTAGCGTACATGAAAGGGAATGCCAACTTGTGTCGTGCCATTGTCCGATCTGGGGCTCGCCTTGGGGTGAATAATAATCAAGGCATCAACATTTTCAACTACCAGGTTGCCACCAAGCAGCTTCTGTTTAGACTCTTAGGTGAGTGGCCTACTTTTTGATTTTTTAGGACAAACATTGTTAATAATGTGGATTATCTAGATGTATCTGTGATCTTTAAGTCTTATAACAACTTACTGTACTATCTGAACCAGTAGTTTCCAGGACCATACAGGCCTATTTTTTCTTTTTCTTGGAGACAGAGTCTCACTTTTGTCACCCTGGGTAGAATATCATGGCATTATAGCTCACGGCCAACTCAGACTCTTGGGCTCAAGCAGTTCTCTTGCCTCAGCCTCCCAAGTAGCTGGGACTACAGGCATCTGCCACAATGAACGGTTTAGAGACAATATCTCACTCTGGTTCAGGTCAACTTTGAACCTGCATGCAGGACTATTTCTATGAATGAGATGAAGCGCCTTGGAGCAGTGTTGGGAGGGTCACTATTAGCAGTCACTTTTAAAGTGCTCTGCCTTGAAGCACCTATCAATTTCCTGCTTGCTCTGAACCTTCTAGAAATCTGTAAGCTCTGGGCAAGTCCCCCTTCTCCTGTCTCCTGGCTGCTTATCATCACACCCATCCTCGGGCTGCTTCACATTTTCTACAGACTTTGAAATGGCCCTCCCTCACTGACTTCTCTTTCTGTACGTTCCTTTTGTGGAGAAGACTTATTAATTTCACATTTGTGAGTCTGTATTCTTCTCCACTGAGGTGACAGAAAGAGTGAAAATGCCTTGAGTGCCTGTGTGTGCCTGAGCTGTGTCATCCCATAGCGGAGACCAGCCGAGAAACAAGCTCAGAATGTGATCTCAGTTGTAGGTGGCTTGCCCAAGGTCACAAAGCTGGTTTGTGGCTTCTAGTCTACCTTAATTTTCCCTGTGCCGTGCACCAAGCATATGTTGTTTGGTCTTTCTGTTTAATTTTTAAAATAACTTTTTCAGAAAGAGTTCAGCACTTATGCCTATCGCAGTGCTATTGGGTAGAAGGTGCTTGGAAGTAACTCATTTCCATGCTGCTCCCTTCTGTGAGCTCCATCTGCTTCTCCAGGTAGAGCCCTTAGAATAGTGCCTGCCAGAGTCGAGTTCAGTAAATAAATCCTGGTGATTGCTGTTCTTACTACACTGATAACTCCCAACCTAAATGTGAAGACTGAACTCTATAAGAAAGATTGCTCTAGTTCTTTCTTTACTTATTTTTTTTGAGATAGAGCCTTGCTCTATCACTCCAGCTAGAGCACAGTGGTGTCCTCACAGCTCACTGCAACTTCCAACTCCTGGGCTCAAGCAGTCTTCCTGCCTCAGCCTCCCAGAGTGCTAGGATTACTAGTGGAAGCACTGCACCTGACTTCTAGTTCTTTGTAGATCTCTTTTCTACAGGTGGTCCCACAACAGACTCAGGCATTCCATCCAGCCTTCCCATATCTCACACTTCTGTTTAGTCACCAAATCTGACTAAAGGAGATTGTCTCCTCAATTTCTTGTCTTGGTCCATCCTCTGTATTTCCTGACCATTTGGTCTCAGCCTGCACTTGCAGCTGTGTGGTCTCTGCCCCCTCCCCACCATCCCTTACCTGCCCACTCTCCCTACCTGCATTGCATTTCCCTCACAGACACTGTGCTTGTTCATGACCTAAATACGCTTTCCTTTCCCTCAGTCTGTGTGGCAAATAATGGTTCTCCATGGTCTCTTCTGCGAAGCTTTTCCTGAGCCAGTCAGAATATATTGTTCCTTGTGTTGCTTTATGGACTGATCTGTCTCCCTGCTCCCTCCCAGCCCTGAGTGCTGCATAGCACAGTCACTGTTTGACAGAGCTAGTCCTCTCCTGTGTGTTACAGATATGCTATCGAAGGAGCCTCCGTGGTGTGATGGCTCCAATTGCTACGAGTGCACTGCCAAGTTTGGAGTCACAACCCGAAAACATCACTGGTGAGAGCCCCGTCCACACTTGCCAGAGGAGGGGTTTCTGCCAATGTCATTACTTCTCCCCTTTTCCATGATACACTGTGAGCTTGCCACGGCCCTGCAGTGTCCGGGGCACAGCTTGACCAAGTGGAGGGATGAAATGACAGGAGTGAGCACACCCAGGGTCTCACCAAGGAATGTGGGGAAGGCAAATAGCAGCAGACTGGTGGCTTTCCTGGTGGAAGCTGAGGGCGCATGCTAGTCCTGGACCGCCTCTTAGGCTGCCCTGCAGCACAGCTGAGATGAGTTGTCCCCATAATGTGCCTGAGCTTGTAGGCTGCTCTTCGAGAACTAAGGCTAAGTGCTGTTCTGCTCTTATCTTTTAAAAAGAAGCCGTCTTCAGTATCCTTATTGCCTAGAATTTCATTTTAATGGAATAATTAAACATGAATTATTATAACTTTGCTAGCTGGCAGGTGGCAGAGTTGACCGCAGAGTACCAGTTGTGGGCTGGCCTTGCCTGCCAGGGGCACTGTTGTACTCACGTGCCAGGAGGCAGCCTGCTCTTTGTCTCATCCTTCCTTTCTTTGTTTCCACAGTCGTCACTGCGGCCGTCTTCTTTGCCATAAATGCTCAACTAAGGAGATACCTATTATAAAGTTTGATCTGAACAAGCCTGTGCGAGTGTGCAACATTTGCTTTGATGTACTGACTCTGGGTGGGGTCTCTTAGTGAGCCCTAGGAGCGTCCAGGCCACGTCTCCAGTCACCTCCCCAGCAGCTGCTCTGCTCACCAGCCTGCCCACCCAGAGCAGGAGCTGGCGGTCGTCTTCTGCAGCAATAGACTGGAACAATTAAGGACCATGGTGTGATAGATCTCATTTCAAATGATTCCATATGATCATCAGTGTGTGTCAGGCTGTGATCGATTCACTACTAGATGTCTCACTAATTGGACCAGGCCATTCAGCCTAAGTGGTAAATGTGATTAGGTTAGACCCCCATTCTGTTACCAACATACAAGGACACTCTGAAAACCATTTTCCCTTTTAGTAGCTTAGGGTCCATCTCAGAGTATTCATGAAGTCTTCCTGCCTGGGCTGACTTATGAGGCGGAGCCTCACAAAGTAGGAAGCTGGCTGCTTCATGACAGCTGGCTTAACTCTAGGGTACGTGGCTGTGGACTTTTCTGCACAGTGTTTTCATAAAGATAATAGGATCCTCTTGCCCTGAAGTCTTTTTTTTTTTTTTTAAGCGAAGCTGTATTTTTAGTGAGCTACCCCTTTTAAAAAGGTGAAATCTTTCTAAACAGGGTTCAAAGATGAGAGCTGAAAATCGTGGCCTTAACAACTGAAAGCTTTACCAGTGTTCATGCTACTGAGGTGTCAGGAGTGCAGTATGGCAGCTTGATACCTCCTAGCAGCCGTCTCATTCTCTCGTCTTGCTGCATCCTGTCTGTACTCAGTCACCCTACCACTTGAGAGTGGTAGAGAAAATGCACTTTTATTGTGCTGCACTTTTTATATAGCTGCATTATTGGTGATTCCAATTTAAAAAATTCCATGGTCAGAAATACCCTCACACATCCTTACATCAGTGATTCTAATTATCAGCTTTGACTGGACCTCAGCTCACACTGATCTTAAAGGAAAAACTATAGAATGTCTTTTAGAGCAAGAGAGTCATACAGGCCAGCTGGGGGAAATCTGTAAAGCTTCAGCTCCAGGGCATCTCCAGCTCAGGCCAGCAGGTCCTATCTCCTTAATACGAATGCTTCTTGCTGAAACCTTCCCTAGTCATGCTGTGAATGCTGTTGGTTCCAGTTATATGTCCCTTGTCCTGCTCCATGGGGCCAACAGCCAAAGGTCCTGGCCAGGTGAGCACAGCCCCATTTTGGAAGGCTCTGACGTGTGTGCTAAATGAGGCAGCCAGAACCCGCTGGGCCTTAGTCACTCACTGCTAGTACATATTTTAACCCTGAGATATTAAACTTCTTTTGAAGGTTGGGCCAGTTAAAAAAACAATGCACATTTAAAGAGAAACTTTTACCACTGCTTTTTAAAAAACAAAAACTACTCTGAGATAAACAATGTTAACACAGTTATACTCAGAGATTAACAGTCTCAATCATAACATGCTGATTTTTTAAGACATTTTAATAACCACTACATTTTTTGCATTAATGAAGTATGGATATATGTGTAAAAGGGACTAAATATTTTTTTGCAACAACCTGTTTTTTTGTTTCTTTTTTGGATAGTGGTATGTTCTTTCTGTTGCTGTAGATTTATACGTTCTGTTGCCTATATATGTGTGTAAAATGAGCTTATAAACCAGAGTGCTACTTTTTTTTAATATTTCTGTGATTTATAAGATATATGCTTCTATGTTAATATGAAGTGCACAATGTTTAAAAGAAAAACTTAATTAGAAGAGTCCCCTGTTCCCTATTCTGTGACATATTTCACATAGAATTTTTACAGAAAAATTCAGCTAGTCTTGGCAAACATTTGACCATGAGAGGCATGTGGTCAGTTTCCATTTTCTATTGCCTGAAAAAGGCCACAAGGAAGCAGGGCTTAGTTAGGTAGCTTGATTATGTAATTCTGTAATTAGAAAGTAAGATAATCATGGTTCAGATATGAATTGAGGTGGTTGGTACACAGATAATTGTTCTTTTAATGTTCATAGTGGAGAGGGGAGGATGAGGATTCAATCAGTAAACAGGCTAATTGTTCTGCCCTGCCTACTGTACCAATTTCAATCACAAACTTGCCTATAATTGCACTTAAATTCTTAAGATCATGTTTAAAATATGTTAGATCATGTTTAAAATATGTTGATTCAAGCTTCTGTTTCTCAGCAGAGTCCAGGGATAACAGTGGTACTGACCAGCCATGAATTAGGGGTACATTTTTAAATTCTGCATTGGCTTCAGAATGCATTCATGTAGATATAGAAAAAGCATCTTTTTGATCTTAGGAAGTCTCCCTGACCATGCTGATGTTCACTGGACGGCACTCAGCAGGTCCTTTGAGTGGTAGCTGCCCAGGTAGGACGCCAGGCACACTCTGAGGACCTTTTGTGCTCTCCATGCTATCACAACTTGAATGACAAAACTGCCTAGCTGCTCCTGTTAAATTTTAATCTGTAGCTTAAGTACTAGTAGGAAAAACTTAATTTTATTCATTCAGAAAGTTGCCAATTATCATGAATGAGTAGAGCAGGAAGAATAAACTTTACTCAAACAGAATTTGCTGTATCAGTCAACATTGTTATGCTGAAAGCTTTTTAACTGCCTCTTACTCATCACCAGATTTATTATATAGTGTATTCTCAGCAGTCTTCTTTTTTGTTTTTAAGACAAAGGTACAAACCATGTGCTATATATAAACTGAATGGCTTAAACTAATTTGCTACAATCCTCTCACACAGAAGTTTCCCACAAACTTAAGTGCCTACACTTAGGACTTTTAAACTTTCAGTTATCTTTTTAGTGGTATCTCATTGAGTGATGTGTTAGAATATGTGTTCCATTTGAAGTTTTGTGCCTGTGCACTGTTAACCCTAATTACCAATTTAGTCAAGGCTGGATTAGATTGCTCAGTTCACCTGCCACATTCTCTCCAAGGAGTGGGGTCCATGTGACCTTTAGTCCTCTACCTCAGAACCCTGAGTCACTTCTGACCAACCTGCTCAGCTTCCTCAGTCTTCTCCCTGAAAGGGTCCCTGTGTGGAGCTCAGTGTGCATGTGGTGTCACCACTCTTCTGATTCGTGTCCCATGCCTGTTGTACTGAACTGTTACTGCACTCATCTTGTCCATAGGCATGGAGTGGAGGGAAAGTCTTGGGAGAGGGGAGAGCCTTGAACTTCATTTATGTTTCCTTTATCTGGAGAAAAAGAACACTTCTGCACTATGTAATGCTTAGACCTGAAAGGCAAACTAACTTCCCAGGTGACAGTACAGTGTAATGCTTTCCTGACAGACACACTTCCCTCAGGACAAACCCCAGAAGAACTATCTGAAGCACCAAAGCTTCCCACTCCCAGAGGGGAGAGGAGGAAGCAAAGGGGAACAACTTGCCCAAGGGATTTGGAAGCCACATTCTCATTTTGTGGAAGTAACTTAGTGAAGAGCTAACAGCTTGACAAGACATCAAGTAAACACTTAAAATCCCAGAAGTTATAGATGCCTTAAAGACTTTCTTTGGAAGATCATTACCTGTACAGTTCCTTTTTTGTGTGGCGTAAATAATATATTAACCTATTACAACTGACAACATTGGTTTTCTGCAGCAAGGGAGTCTTGTAGTTGGGACTGCTCAACTTTATGATGTGCCCCTTTGTGCAGATGTGTGAGCTGGCTGTTACCATGACATTCCCATGTGACACCAAGGGGAAGGGCAGTAGCTGGGCAGAAATGGCAGGCACACGTTTGGGTTGATCACCTTGGCTTCCAGACCATTTGGGGTGGTGCTCGGTGTGGGGTGATGACATCATATAGGACCATGGCGCTTATCAGCATTGTTTCTTTGAAGTCTGTGTAATGGAATGTATTTTTCAAATACTGATATTTGCATTTTCTGTAACAGTTCCTTATAATAAAATGAAGTAAAATTGCGCATTTAAAGTGGAAACTTTAATAAGACATTTGTAGTTACTTCCAACACAGAGGTACCAATAAGCATTAAAAACAAGTTAAAAAAAACTCATGTGGTAAATTTCTTTAACAGCTACTCTTTGGGAAAGTTTGAATTTCAGCATTTTTCAGAAATAGTTTGTTGACACTCAGAACAATCAGAAAGTGGTTGTTTTAGGCATACTGTGTAAGCTACTTGAATTTACTGTGCTCTCAACCCAGACTTCAGGTCACGGCAACGTGTGTGATCACAGATGCACCATCTTAGCCAGCTGGCCCCACGCATGTTCTGCAGGGGAACCTGGAATTCCCTCCCTGACTCCATTTTTCAGGAGCAACTCAAGAGGATCCACTTGTGAGCTTCCTGATGGCCGAGGTTTGAAGGGAGGCCTGGCACTGGGTGCATCAGGGAATACTAAAGTTTAGGGGCTTGCAAATTGAAATCCAGTGATGCATAAAGTCTCTGTACAAATCATACAAATCTAGCAGCTTGCTTGGCCCTCACCTGTTCTTGAGCTAACTACTCACTTTCTTTACCTGTCTTGCATCCTGCATAGCCCCCAGTCAGACCACCATGATCTCATTCTCTGGCGGCTTTTATCTTTCAATCAGTGGGCACTGTCAGATGCTTCCACGACAATCCTAAGTAATCCTGGTAGCCAGCCTTGAGGCAGACAAAGGGTTAAGCACAGTCGCTGGTCACGCTACGTGTAGCACACAGTAACCTGGCTTAGAATAACTTTCTTTTTTTTTGAGACAGGAGCCTCAAGCTGTCCCCCTGGGTAGAGTGCCGTGGCATCTCAGCTCATAGCAACCTCCAACTCCTGGGCTCAAGCGAGGTGCTCGCCACAACGCCCGGCTATTTTTTGGTTGTAGCCGTCATTGTTGTTTGGCGGGTCCGGGCTGGATTCGAACCCGCCACCTTGAGTGTACATGGCTGGCGCCTTAGCCACTTGAGCCACAGGCGCCGAGCCAGATTAACTTTCATAGATATTTCCTAGCCAGGCAAAAGCACTGGGTTTTTCTGCTTTTTCATTGACTAATAGCATTGGGTAAGTTCCATAATTCTGTGACTTCATTTCACTGTCTGTAGAATGGAGACAGGGTGGTTCTTCCCAGCTCACAGGGTTGCCTGGAGGAAGGTAATGAGTCATCAGTAACAATAACATGTCCTTCCTCTCACCCAAGTACCCAAACTCAGATGTGCATATCACCATCAGATGGCAGCAATGTATGCTGTCTACTTGAAAGAATCTGGGGGCTGTACTCAGGATCACCACCTTCTGAAGGACACTTGCAGACTTCTAAGCAGGCACCATCCCAGCCTGCCCATGGCCAGCTTTACTTAAGAGCAAAGCAAGCTGGAGGCAGGAATCTCTGATGCTGAGATTTCCTTCAGGACATTGGAGGGAAGCCACCCAGCCTTTGCTTTAACACTGTGCCCACTGGTGTGGCAGAGAGATCACCTGTCATGTGATGGTTGTTACAACTATTCGAAGAGGTGGGGGTATTTATGCTCCTTTTCTGGGCCATAAAATGAGAACTTCTCAAGGTTGGCTTAGAGATTAAATGAGAACAAAGTTCCTTGCATGGGGCTTGGCCTGGCAGTGTTCTCTGTTCTCTCTGCAAGCAAGTCAGCTTGTATGCTCAGCTTGTGCTGAACTTTCTCGGCCTCCATCAAGGGAGGCCTCACTCCTCCACACTCTACCCAGGGCCACCTCTACTGGAGAGGGAAGAGTGGCATTTCTTTGGCAATCACCATGTTCTCAGAGCTGAGCCCTTTGGACCCCAAACTGATAAACTATTTTTGCTGAATACTTTGCCCTGACACAAGGGACATTTTACCAAAGGTAAGTGGAAGAGGAAAGCAAGAGGAAGAGGAAGTGAACTGAGTAGGGTCCCCAGCCAGCTGAGGTAGTCCTGGAGCACAGGTTCGGGGTTTCACATCAGTCACAGATCTATCTATGCATGGCCAGAGCCCACACCTGGTTGGAATGACAAGGTTATCTTGTTTCATTCCTTTTTTATTGTAGGAAAGGTCTAAACATCTCTGGAATTGGCCCTCGTACTATCCTCATTGTTACCCCAATAATTGGCCTTTGGGTGCCCTACCCAAGGTTTATTCCCCCCTTGAGATCTGGAGCCTCACTATGCACCCCCCCCACCCCCCCCAAACACATGATGCCTGGCACATAGTAGGTAAATATTTGTTGAATATTTTGGTCCTAAAGGAGGGCAAAAGCAGTGGCAGTGACTAGTTTCCAGTTAGCCTGGAGTTGAGGGCTGTTTCTGGATAAAAGAAGCCTCAGGCACTGAGCTCAAGGGCTGTCTGGAACTCAGAACAAGACCCTAATTTCAGTTGTCCTGGATGTCTATCCCTGCTCCCCTCCTATATAAACGTGCTTAAAAACAGAAGATTGAAAATAGCACTGAATCAGTAGTCAAGATCCTTGAGTTCTACACTTGGTTCCATTGCTCTGTGATCTTAAGTTCTACGAGTCCCAGCTGTCTCCTCTCCAAAATAGGTGCTAACTTGGTGCACGTATCACATGCTAGACACCATGGATACAGGTCTGTCTTCAAAAAGAGGTCCAGTGTGAGAGTCTGGTAGGGGATTTGTGATTAATGCCACTGTGATATAAATTCTTTTGGGAGGCTAAAGCAAGAGAATCGCTTAAGCCAAGAGCTTAAGGTAGCTGTGAGCTATGACACTATAGCACTCTACTGAGGCAACACAGACTGTCTCAAAAAAAAAAATTCTTTTGGGAGTGAGCACAGTGCTATGGGAACTGAGGGGAAGTGCGTCTAAATCAAATTGCAAGACTCCAAAAGGAGGACTGACTGGGTTGAGTATTGAAAAAGAGGTTTCATTCCAGGCCAAAGAAACAGCTTGTATGAAGACACTATGGGCATGACACAGTGAGGAAGGCCAGAGAGGGTGCACGTGGGAGGTGACAGGAGAGAGACAGGCCAAGGAACAGCCTCCTAGGCAAGCAACTGAAGAGTTGTACTCACTCACTCCTTATAGATAATGTGGAGCTGCTGGGGAGGGCCCTGATCATCACTAAGAAAGAGGACTCAGCACTGTGGGATGGTGGGTGTGCAGTCAAGACTCCACAGTGATCCAAGTGGGAAACAGTAGCCTAAAGCAAAGGAGGAGTGCTGGGAACAGATGAGGGGATGGAGAGGAGAGAATTAAGGAGGCAGCTGCCAGGTTTTAGAGATGTGTTGGGAGAACGGGGTGTGGTGATTGCCAGGATTCGTACGCCATGCACTGAGAATACACAGCAGTGCCATTCACTTGGACGACCAGAAGAAAACTCAGGAGGGAAGATGGAAGATCGAATGCCAGAAGTGTAGAGTGTGAGGTGCCTATAGAAATGCTCTGGAAAGCAGCTTGCAGTAGAGATACACCCTTCGCAGCCTGAGTGGTAGCTGAATTTGGAGTGAGAAGGGGTTCATGGCTACAAGGAGGCTTTCAAGGAGACTAAGAAGGGTTGGCCTGAGGGAGAAAAGGGAAAGCAGAACCGTAATGCCAATGTTCTGATTTGGATGACTGGAGGTGCACTGAGGGCAGGTGCAACATGTCTTTACCCAGCTTGTGGTGGCTGGGAGCTGAGTTACACAGGTCTGCAATCCACACAAGTGGAAAGCCTTTACACCTTTACACCAGGGGAACAATAGACGCATGGTGCCAAGCAGGAGTTACTTAGCATGACCACTGTGTACAGTTACGGTTATCTGGGGAAAACAGTAACTTCCAGCAGCACCATGGGTGAGAAAGCCCAATTTTGTCTGCCCTATTAAGAATAAAGCTTAGTGAAGATTTTATGAAAAATCTTGGGGTCAACAGTGTCAAGTCCCAGGCCGCGTATGGCAGCTCACACCTGTAATCCCAGCACTCTAGGTGGCTGAAGTAGGTGGATCACCTGAGCTCAGGAGTTTGAGACCAGCCTGAGCAAGAGCAAGACCCCATCTCTAAATATAGAAAAAGCTGGGCATTGTGGTGGGTGCTTATAGTCCCAGCTACTCAGGAGGCTAAGGCAAGAAGATCACTTGCGCCCAGAAGTCTGAGGTTGCTGTGGGCTGTAATAACACCAGGGCACTCTACCCAGGGTGACAGAGTGAGACTGTCAGAAACAAAACAGTGTTGGCCAGGCACGGTGTGAGGTGGCTGAGGCGGGTGGATTGCTTGAGCTCACGCGTTTGAGACCAGCCTGAGCAAAAGCAAGACCTTGTCTTTACTAAAAAATATATAGAACTGAGGCAAGAGGATTATTTGAGCCCAAGTTGGAGGTTGCTATGAGTTATGACGCCACGGCACTCTACCCAGGGTGACACTGTCTAAAAAAAAAAAAAAAAACAAAAAAAAAAAACAGCATTAAGTACCAGAAAGATAATAAAATAGGTATTGATAAGAACTAAATGGGCTCGGCGCCTATAGCTCAACCGGCTAAGGTGCCAGCCACATACACCTAAGGTGGCGGGTTCGAATCCCCAGCCCGGACCCGCCAAACAACAATGACGGCTGCAACCAAAAAATAGCCGGGCGTTGTGGCGGGCGCCTGTGGTCCCAGCTACTTGGGAGGCGGAGGCAGGAGACTCGCTTGAGCCCAGGAGTTGGAGGTTGCTATGAGCTGTAATGCCACAGCACTCTGCCCAGGGGGACAGCTTGAGGCTCTGTCTCAAAAAAAAAAAAAAAAAAAAAAGAACTAAATGAACATGGGGCCAGGCGTGGTGGCTCATGCCTATAATCCCAGCACTACGGGAGGCCAAGGTGGGTGGATTGCTTGAGCTCTGGATTTTGAGACCAGCGTGAGCAAGATCGAGACCTTGTCTCTAAAAATTAGCTGGGTGTTGTGGCAGGTGCCTATAGTCCCATCTTCTTGGGAGGCTGAGGCAAGAGGATTGTTTGAGCCTGAGAGTTTGAGGTTGCTGTGAGCTATCAATGCCACAGCACTCTACCACGGGTGATGAAGTCAAGACTCTATCTCAAAAAAAAAAAAAATTGAATGAATGTGTCCATGGGAGTTGCCAATACAGAATCTACTCTGCTGTTGAATAGAGAAGGCC